TGGACATTGGTCACACATAATACACTCCGTATAGTATATGCCAATAGTCACAATAGCTAGCATACTTTATAAATGAGTAATGACTAGAGAAAAAGAACTTCAATCCTCCATATATAGGAAATTATAGAACCTCAAGTAAGCTAAAAAAATGAAGAAAGTTCTTCTAGTCATCAACTGTATAATTCTAGCTGTAGGAACCTGTGGTGGCCCTTTGGTCATGCGCCTTTACTTCATTAAAGGAGGCAAAAGAATTTGGCTATCAAGCTGGCTACAAACTGCTGCTTGGCCAATCAATTTCATCCCTTTAGTCATTTCCTATTTCTACCGTCGCAATAATAATAATAATACTACCTCCAAGCTCATTCTGATGACTCCCCGAATTTTCATGGCGACTATTGGGATCGGAATCCTTCAAGGATTTACAAACTATTTCTACGCTTATGGCATAGGAAAATTACCCGTCTCCACTAGCGGACTTCTTTTTGCAACGCAACTTGCTTTCACTGCCTTCTTTGCTTTCCTTATAGTGAAGCTGAAGTTCACTCCTTACTCGGTAAACTCTGTGTTTTTGTTGACGATTGGCGCAGTGGTTTTGGCTCTACGCTCCGGTGGTGATCAACCGGAGGGAGAGCCAAAGAAAGAGTATATATTAGGATTTGTCATGACCCTGGCATCTGCTGCATTGACTGGCCTTATTTTTCCTTTGGTGGAGTTGATATATAAAAAGACACAACAAACTATCACTTACACATTTGTATTGGAGTTTCAAACACTCTATTGCTTTGTTGCTACTGTGCTTGCAACAATTGGAATGATCATAAACAAAGACTTTCAGGTCTCTCTTTTTCTCTTCCCTCAATTTGAAGATTATGTTCATATTTATCAGACAAAATCACCCCATAAAACATGATTCATTCATTTAAAAAAGGGGATCATGATATATCCAGTTTGAACTATAAAAATCTTTTTAAATAAAGAAATATAGCCAACTAGGTACTCATAAAAGAACAAATAAAGAAATTAAAATTTAGGCACAATCGATTTTTTAGCTCATCTTAATCCAACTCATTTAACACAAATAACATTTGACCCATCATTCAGTCTATTTTGAAAGACATGTGTCATATTCGTCATTACAATTTTTCTCAATTTCGCCAAGTACACTTTTAGATGACAGATATATGTCATATTCAATCTTTAAAGGTCAAGATTATATTATAATCATAGGTAAGTGAACAAATTTTTTAAAACTATCCTCCAAATTTGATAAGAGCAGAATATTTCCCACAAATTTGATATTCAAATATTAAAAAGTAGAACATGAATCTAACGATATTCTTATTTAGCGTGATAAATAATACTAGTCTTCAAAAACATTTTGGCTTTAAAATAATGTTTTCAAAATTCAAAAAAACAAAAAAAATAGAAGAAGAAGAAGAAGATGAAAGAATATTTTTTAAAAACATATTTTTTTCTTTTTTTTCCCCTTCAAACACAGTAGCCACACTTTTTCCTAAACTTTAGAATGATATTTCACATCTGTAATCTTGATACATCTCGTCTTTTTATTTTTTTATTTTTATTTCTTGCTCTTTTATTTTATGATTTTTGTCGATATTGACAAATTTTTGCCTTTTTTTTGTTTCTCAACATAATATTTCAAGAATAAAGTTTATTGGCATAAAAAAATATTTAGTCGATTCTCATCTTAAATACGGTATAGTTTAATATTTAAATAAAAAAAATATAAGATGAAAATAATGATATTAGTGGATATTAAATTAATGATGAATATCTTGTTCTTATTGAAGAATAGTTTTTCAAAATTTGTTGACTTAAATATGTTTATAATATTTATTAATATAATATAATCTTGACCTTTAAAAAATGAATAGGACATATGTCTCTCATTTAGAAGTGTATTTGACAAATAGAGGAAAAGTGTAATGGAGGGGAGCCAACTCCCTAGTAATATATATATATATATAATATTTATGTAACCAAGTTACTTTAATTTATATTATGTACATTTATATAATAAAAATAATTGGTCATTTGATAAATACATTAAATAATTTGCTATAATATAGTTTATATTTAGATCGAAATAACAAGGTATGCAGAAGCCGCTAAATCATACAGTAAAAAAATCGAAAGATATATAGTACTTAATAGTAATTTAATATGGAATAAGGGCAAACAACAGATCTCAATAGTTATTTTTCACGAATTTCATATCATAACTATTTGTTATTTTTTCACCTATCTAAATTATTACTACTATTCAGGGAATACAAAATACACAATTAATATGGGTTCAAAATTTATATGAAGGATTTATATATATATATTTTTAAGGGTGTAAAACATATATACTTGGCAGGCAATTTCAAGGGAGGCGAAAACATTTGAACTTGGAGAAGACAAATATTATATTGTGATAATATGGAGTGCAATAATTCTGCAATTCTACTTCTTAGGGTCCATTGGAGTCATCTATTCTGCTTCTTCTTTGGTATGTGGCATTTTAGTATCAGTTCTACTTCCTCTCACTGAAGTTTTAGCTGTTTTCCTTTATGGCGAAAAATTCAATGCAGAAAAAGGAGTTTCTCTTGCCCTTTCTCTATGGGGATTTGCTTCATACTTTTATGGTGATTATAACAAGACAGAAAATAGTAATCAATCACCGGCAATAGAGATGATTGATAAAATTAATTGTACACCGTAATTATAAATAGTGTTTATTAAACAACTGGAATTGATATTGATTGTGATAATTAGATGTAGACTTGTGTATTACTACTTTTTTTGAATTTTATTTTTCTTGCATCACCTTCTCTTCTCGGGTTATTTGAATTTCCCTCTTAATTTTAAAGAGATTGAAAACGAGAGCAAATAAATTTAAGAAACTAATCTAATCTGACAAATAAAATTAAATAGATTAGTCGTCACTCGTCACATGACTAATTCAAATGTATACTTAAATGAGTGGATGTGCTCCCATAAAAATGTTAGCTATATAAACTTGTCAAGGATCACCAAATGTAAAAATGTTATCCAATTTCCTATCATCAGAGAATTAAGTTAGTATTATAGAAATTCTTTATTCGAGCAGAAGAGAGAAACATTCTATCTAGATAATAAGCTTCTCATTAATATCTAATCTCCCAAGGAGAGTTGAGAGGGGCTATTAAACCAGCTGGAGCTACTCCTATATTGAGTGGCGTTATATATTGGTCAAAATATTTGCTACCCTCCCTATAACAGTGTTGGATGATATAAACTTGTAAGCTTTTCAACCTTTCTTAGATGTCTTGGATAATACTATGTCTAGTAATTAGTTTCAAGGTGGGGATAATTTATCCATGATTCATTGTACAATCAATTGGGAATCACTTTCGATCATCAACTTTCTCACCTCATTGTTAAGACACCATTCAATACCAATCTTAATGTGTATATATAGCTTTTGCTAGGTGATAACGCTTAACTATACCTCACAAAATTGTTATGTGTATTTAATATTTTAACCTAATTAAGAATTGGTAAGGTCAATCCCTTAGAGAATGAACCAATACAATTCACCTTATAATGTGTTCAAACCATTGATGATATATTCACACATTGATAAAAATTACAATAAAAATAAATGATTTTTTAATAAATAAATAAAATATAAACGATGATTTGTGCTAATTTAACAATCAATCAATCAATTGGACTCAACTTAAAGAAATGGGAGTTGTATAGTACTCCCTTCGTTTAAAAAAGAATGACCTCCTTTCCTTTCCTTTTTAGTCTGTTTCAAAAAGAATGATCACTTTCTTTTTTTTGGTAACATTTTAATTTCAGCTTTTCACGTGACATGTATAAGGCCACAAAATTAAAGGGCAATTTTGAACAGTTGACATAACTTTAATTTAGGACCACAAGATTCAAAAGTCTTCTTTAATTTCTTAAACTCTGTGCCAAGTCAAACTAGACCATTCTTTGTAAAACGGAGGGAGTAGTAAGGATTTCTAGGGATATGCTTGTATGAATTATAATCAAGTAATTGGGTAATTAGCTTTGCTTCAATTAGTTGAGAATCATTGATAAGCTAGATTATAGGTGTTAATGACTACTATTTGCTAATCAATGATCAAATTTCACATTACAAACCCCAATGTGTAAATAATACAAAACAATATATTATTCTGACTTAGCCAAATTACCTCTAGATTCAGCTACTAATCGAATAAAATCAAGTAATCGTCGATCAAGTCTTCTCACTATTATCTTCTCTTACAAACAACATAAGAGATCTAAAGTAAATTAGAGTTTGCAACCTCTAATTATAGATGAAAACATGAAGAAATAGCTAATCTCAATTCAAATAAACATTTAAAACGTAATTAATTAATACTCAATCATAATTTATAATTCACACACTATACACCCCTAAGAATTGGGGGATTAACTAGGCATAACTAAAAAAAAAAGATTAGATTATCAAGTTCTTCAGCCATAATAGCCTTAGATTTAATTGTCTTAGATATAAGTTGCGCCACAAATGTAGATAAGTCAAGATTACTACTCCAAGCTTTTCCAAAATCTCAAAAATTGCAGAGAATGTTCTGAAATATGAAAAGTGTGTATTTCAAGTCCCAAAATTCTATTTATATCCAAAGAAAAATATTTAGAAATTATTCGATACCACTTTGGCGATCTCGATCAGCCACCGAACTCATCTTTTACTCCATCGTTTTGCATTGTGCTTTTGGTTTTCTCCAAAAGCGATGAAATGTTGTTTCGGCGCTACGCCATGCAAGTGGACGTTTATGTCGCCAATCTAATTTGATGCACACGAGTGATTGCAGCTGTTAACTTTGGTGAGCCTTAAGCAGTTTGGTAATGCGCCAAACTCCAATCCTTAGGCGATGGATCAGACTTAATTATATTAAACCACGATGTTTATAAATAGTACTCCATCGATCGGAGCTTGCATGCATGCTTTTTTGTGCTTATAATAGCTATAGCCCATATGATTTTCAAAATAATTGTCTTAAACCAAGATGATCACACACACTCAAGTTATGAAATACGAGATTCACACCTTGACAAACCATTACTAATCTATGTATATGAGCACAAATGATAATCAAGATTCAATAAATTAGTGTTAGAAGAATGCAACTCAAGTGTCGTCACACAAAAGAAATATGTTTCATTCTTACAAAGAAATCAAATTGAATCACTCACACTTACAAAGACGATCAAAATGTACATGTATACCGAATCATGGGCTTGCCCATATCTCTCATTAAATCACGATGAAACACGCTAGACAAGAGATCAAAGGGCTTTTATCGACTTGTAATGTAGGCAAAGGACATGATAGGGTATCATTTGACTATAGTGAGTGAATATTTTTTTTCAAATGCCCACTCGACAATTTTCTCTTTTCGACCTCAATAGTAGGAACCACTCATTTAGACACACACACATATAAAAGGAGTGGGTTCCTCAATTTACAACTAGTATGCTCAAGAAGAAAGTGACTGACCTCTAGCTCTTTCAGTATCAATTCCAAGATCTAGTCAATGATCACCACACTCTCAACTTAGACTTTGATGTAAGTTGATTTTCGACCTCACCTAAGTGCTTTAAGATGATTTTGTAAAGTATAAGAATTTTAATATTATAGGAGTAGTTTTGATGGTTGAAAATGTGAACCTTATTTACTACTTGTTGTCTTATGTATACTCTATCAGGTGAACAAGATCTCGAGATGTAAATACAAATAGTCTATACAAATATGAGCAATTACAAAAAACAAGAAAACAAACAAATTGCAAAAATAATATAGTGAATAAGAAAACAAATAAATAGCTGAAATAACGAAGCAAAGAAGCTAATAAATAAAGGAGTAACAAAATAAAGAAATAGAGAGCAAAAATAAAGTTCAAAGAAGAGTTAAATTTTCCTTATAGGATGAAATTTCTTTTAAGAAAGTAAATAAAAAATTTTGTTATAGGAGGCTAACTCCAATTTGAAGTAAAAGTCCTAGTATGTGATATACTAGGTCATGACAAATCCCAACACACATACGATCGCGCACACACACGCACACATGCGCACAACACACATGCACACGCTATATATATATATATATATATATATATATATATATATATAACCTAAATATCATTGAGAGTCACACCTATTGCATATTCATGAAATTCATCATCTTGAGAGCACATTGGAGCAAAACTGCACGACTTCAGCACAACAATACTGAAACCTGATTCACGAGTCGTGTTCGAGTCTGTACTATTAAATATTAAAGTTTGATTAGTTAAAGACTAGAGTTAATAGTCTTTATTGAGTTCACTAATTGGAGTAAATTGGTGAGTTATTTTGTGTGATGTTTGGATAATTAAAGATGAGGGTTATTAGTCTTTGTTGAGTTTGTAATAGGATTATTATAGAGTAGTAATACTTTTTAGCATTATTAAAGATGTGATCATTGTGAGGTTTGTAAAAAGAAGAGAGATTATCTTTTTGGAGAGTTAGAACAGTTTGAGTGAACTGTAAGTTTAAGTGTGTTAACATTCATGGTTGTGAATGTTCTAGAAGCTAAGCAGAGAAAAAAGAAGAAGCTGAAAGAGAATCTCAATTCACATACATTCCAACTTATTTAATCAGTTACATATCAATAGTATTTATACAATCTGAATTAAGCTTTAATTAGTAAACCTCTTAGCTGTCACTCTAACTCACTAGCTAACTAACTTCTAACCACTTCTTAACAACTTGAGTTACTACTAACTCATTTGTAGTTACATCAAATTGCCTTTTGGTTTAACACCCCCTCTCGAGTTGATGGTTGAAACAGGTTCTTAAGTCCAATTTTACTCACTAAATATTCATGTTGAGATCTTCCCAAGCCTTTTGTATGTATGTCTGCCAGTTGCTCTTCTGTTGATACATGTTCAGTTCTAATCATGCCTTGAGTGATTCTTTCTCTTACAAAGTGACAATCAATGTCAATATGTTTAGTTCTTTCATGAAATATAGGATTTGCTGCTATTTGAATTGCAGCTTTACTATCACACATTAGGTCTATAGGTTGTTTAATATGGACTCTGAATTCTCTGAACAACCCTATCAGCCAAGTAAGTTCTGCAGTACAAGCAGCCATGCTTCTGAACTCAGCTTTAGCTGAACTTCTTGACACAGTTTCTTGTTTCTTGGACTTCCAGGATATTACAGCTCCACCAAACTTCACTAAATACCCAATAACAGATTTTCTTGTTTCCAGACAAGCACCCCAGTCTGAATCACAATAGACAAATAGTTGACTAGTAGCTTGAGATGGCATCAGTACACCCATTCCTGGTGATCCCTTGATATATCTTACAACTCTCAGTGCATCTTCTATATTAGATCTTTTTGGACAATGCATGTATTGGCTAAGAACTTGAACTGCAAAAGCTATGTCCAACCTAGTCATTGTTAGGTACAAAAGCTTCCCCACTAGCCTTTGATATGCTGTAGGATCTCTCAAAGTTTCATCATTGTGTCCTGTCTTGGTAGATATATTTTTGTCATATTCCACAGAAGTTAATTTCTGATTAACTTCAAGTGGTGCATTGACTGGCTTTGATCCACTCAAACTAGTTTCTGAAACTAACTCTAATGCATATTTTCTTTGGCATATCATGATTCCCTCTTGTGATCTGGCTACTTCAATCCCCAAGAAGAACTTAGGTTCTCCAAGATCTTTCATCTTGAATTTGTGCTTCAAATCTTCCCTTGCTTTATTGATCAAGATCAGATTATTTCCAGTAACTAGTAAGTCATCTACATACACTAGAATTATCACTAACTCTTCTTTTGACTTCTTAGTAAACAAAGAGTAGTCATAGTGACTTTGAGTGAATCCCATCTGAATAAGAGCATCAGTCAGTTTCTTATTCCACTGTCTTGGAGCTTGTTTAAGTCCATACAACGACTTATGGAGTTTGCAGACTATCTTAGACTCTTCCTGTCTGGCAAACCCTTCAGGAATATGCATATACACCTCTTTTACCAATTCACCATTTAAAAAGGTATTATGGACATCCATCTGAAAAATGCACCACTGTTTGGAAGCTTCAAGTACTATTAAAGATCTGACTGTTGCCATTTTTGCAACAGGAGAAAAAGTCTCAGAGTAATCTATACCAGCCTGCTGGCTATAACGATTTATATTTCACCTTGTACACCCACTTACAACCAATAGGAACCTTACCAGGAGGAAGTTCTACAACAGACCAAGTGTGATTGGATTCTAATGCATCTATTTCAAGTTGCATAGCCTGTACCCAAGAGGGACTTGAGGAAGCTTGTTGGAAAGAGGAAGGTTCAGAAATAGAGGAGTAGGTATGTAGGGAATATTGATAGGACTGTGAAAGATTAGAGTAAGAGACATATGAGGACATGGGATAGGAACAAGTGTGAGAGGAGGGAGTAACAAAATCAGTCATCCATCTAGGAGGATGTCTGTTTCTAGTAGATTTTCTTGGTTCAACTGGTGATGGGACTGGTGGTGGAGGCTGAGGAATAAGCGGAGGAGGTGGTGGGCTTGAAGATGGACTACTAGATTGAACTTCCAGAGGAGAGAACTGAAGAACAGGAAACATAGGAGAACCAAAAGACTTGGTATAAAGGAAAGGAAATATGGACTCATGAAACACTATATTTCGACTGACAAAGAAGGATTGAGAATGAAGATCATAGATGTTGTAGCCTTTTTTTGTGGAGGAATATCCCATGAAGACACCAGGAGTAGCTCGAGCAGCAAATTTATCTAAAAGTGATGTGGTGGAGGCATAACTTAAACAACCAAACACTCTTAAATGGGATAGGGAAGGAGGATGTTGTAGAGAAGTTCAAAAGAGGACTTGAAATGTAACAATTTTGAGGGTACTCTATTAATGATGTACACAGCCGTAGTGACACATTCCCCCCAGAATTTCAAGGGTACTCCAACCTGAAACCTAAGGGACCTGGCTACATTTAGGATAGTTCTGTGCTTTCTTTCTACCACCCCATTTTGTTGTGGGGTGTAGACACAGAAACTCTAATGTAAAATGCCAAGAGTAGACATAAGAAGTTGAAATTCAGTGCTAAAAAATTCACAACCATTATCAGTTCTTAACACCGTAACAGTAGTAGAAAACAGATTCTTTATTCTTGTAAGAAAATCTCTTAGAACAACAATAGCTTCAGACTTGAATTGCATCAGAAACAACCATGTGTATCTAGTGTGACCATCAACAATAGTGAGAAAGTATCTTTTGTTGTTATGAGAGGGAACTCTATAAGGACCCCATATATCACAATGCAACATATCAAAGGAAGACTTAGAACTAGACCTACTAATCTGAAAAGGTAATTTTGTGTGTTTAGCTAAATGACAAACAGTGCATACATGATCTGCAAGGACCAAATGTTTAAGACTCTCATGCTTCTTGAGCACCTCCAGGGAAGCATGGTCTAATTGTTTATGCCATATACTACTAGAATCAGACCTTTGGTTAACAGAACTTGCACAGTTATAAGAAGAACATTGTTGAGATTGAGTGACAGTCTTATCCTTCAACACATACAGCCCCTGACTCTCTCTACCAATTCCCATCACCATGCTAGTGTAGAGATCTTGAAACAGGCAGAAGTTAGGGAAAAATGCCACAGAGCATTGTAATTCCTTAGTCAACTTGGAAACTGATAGCAAATTAAACTGGAAATCTGGTAGAAACAAAACATTAGTGATCATATTATTTAAAACATGGGAGCTTCCAGTATGAGATACCTGTAGTGTCCCTCCTGTAGGTAGATAAACCTTGCTCTTCTCAGGATTTGAAATTTAAGTATAATTAGACAACATATGATAATTTGAGGTCATATGATTGGATGCAACTGTATCCATTATCCCAGTAGTATCTACATTACTAGGAAAATAAATAGTCTGTATACCTGCATTAGCAATCTGAGTGGGAACTGTCTCCTCATTACCTTTGCTAAGCATCTGAATAATCTGAGTGTATTGCTCTTGAGTGAAATATAGAGGAAGTGAACCATGTGAACCTGCACTGGATTGAGTGGTTCCTAGATTGCATTGAGCTGTTGTCTCAGAATCACTAGAACAGTTCACTCCGGATTCAGAATTATTATAGCTTCCTACTTGATTAGCAAACACTCATTTCTTCTTAGATGAGGGCCACTCAGGTGGATACCCAGTCAGTTTGTAACACTGCTCTTTGGTGTGACCATTATAGTTGCAATACTCACATATTATTGAGCTCTTCTTTGGTGATCTAACTCTATTGGCATGAGGCATCCTGCCTGAGTAGTTCCCTCCAGAACTGGAGCCTCCTCTTGGAAAGTTTCTCCCTGAATTCATGTTACTTCCGCTGTAGTTATTCCTACCATTATTTACACTAGTTCCTCCTTTATGACTGAAGAAACCTGCTCCTTCAATAGACTCAACTACCTGACTTACTGGTGATAAACTATCTATGGATCTCTGACTTTCCTGACTAATTACCAGTGAGTAGGCCTTATTTAGAGTAGGAAGCGGAGACATCATTAGAAGTTGACTTCTACATTGAGCATATGTTTCATTAAGGCCCATGAGAAACTGTAAAAGTCTCTGATAGCCACAGTGTTGAGAGTAATTGCGAGATTCAGGACAATTACACCCTGGACATGGCATGAGTGCATCAAATTCGTCCCAGAGAGTTCTTATTTTAGAGAAATAGTCAGATACAGACTGAGTTCCTTGTGTAAGAGTGACAATCTCCCTATGAAGATAGAATATTCTAGAACCATTAATAGTATCAAATCTCTCCTGTAAATCAAGCCACACCTTGTGAGCATTCGAAGCATAGATAATGCTGCTCAAAAGATCAGATTTCACAGCATTCATGATCCATGACAACACTACAACATTCACTTTCTCCCATTGGTCATGTAAGGATGCATCAAACTTATCTTTAGTGTGTCTTCCATCGACAAATCCTAGTTTACTCTTTCCTAGCAGACCTAATTTCATAGATCTGTTCCACAGAGCATAATTTGCGGATCCAGTGCTGAAGAGAAACAAGAGAGCTACCTGAAGTATCATTTGGATGTAGAAACAGAAGGTGATTGTGATCAATCATAGTTCGATTTGTGCCTAGAACAGAAGAAGACGCAGGATTAATGTTTACACCATCCATCACCATGATCTGTAACTTCCTGCTACGCTGAAATTGATGGACTGAGCTTTAGACGATCATTCTTGCTGATCGAGACTCTGATATCATGTTAACATTCATGGCTGTGAATGTTCTAGAAGCTAAGCAGAGAAAAAAGAACAAGCTGAAAGAGAATCTCAATTCACATACATTCCAACTTATTGAATCAGTTACACATAAATAGTATTTATACAATCTGAATTAAGCTTCAATTAGTAAACCTCTTAGCTGTCACTCTAACTCACTAGCTAGCTAACTTCTAACCACTTCTTAACAACTTGAGTTACTACTAACTCATCTGTAGTTACATCAACTTGCCTCTTGGTTTAACAAAGTGGTTCAGTGACTCCCTTAAATTGTTGAATCATAATAATATGAACTGTTACTCGTGAGAAGTTTGTGGAAATTGGTGATTGAAA